TCGTCGCTGTATTCCGAACCGGAATTATTTCGACCGCGTTTATTGCAGCTTTGCTGAGCCTGGGGGCCTTCAACGTCTGATTGTTGAAGAGGACTGTGTTTGCCCTGCGATTGTTGCTAAATGGCTCCCAGCACTTGAGACATTTTGCCCATAGCTTGGTTTATTTCTGCTAAAGTGTGGGCAATAGTGGGTGCTTCATGTTGTTGTAGGTTCCCTGAAACGACCTCATGTTCATTCAATGGTCGCGAAGGCGAACTCGGCGGGTCGCCGTTTGTCGTCGTCATGTTTTCTAAAGAAAACACCTAAAATGCAAATTTCTAAGCACTATACTTACACAACCGTTTTACAATTCTGTAATGTGACCAATTCCTGTGTCAGTACCACTTTTGCTTTGGAATAAAAGAGAATATTCAAGTTTCTTAGCGAAAATAAGATAATTTCTGATCAACAATTTTGTGAACACTGATCAGCGAAACACGTGCGCGCTTCTCATGTGTCTCCGTAGTGACGTGACTGATGACGTAGTAGAATTGATGACGGCCTTACACCGGCGTGGCATACTTTCTGTTAAGGTGGTAATCTTAACGGTCAAAAGAAATTCATCCTAGGGACAGTCTTTACAGCAACGCATAAATCATGGACGCTTTAAGAATGAATTCCTTTCCTGCACTATCCCCTTGACATTGTCCCACAGATTTTCAATAGGGTTAAGGTGTTTTGACTGTGCAGGCCAATCCATTTCTGTCACCCCCTCTTCCTGAAACCATTGTTTGACTATATCTTGGAAGGGTGGCAGGTTGCATTACATTATTGAAATATTGCTTGGAATAAGATAATTATCCAAAATGCCTATGAAGCTCTATCCTATATTCGCTTCTTTTTTATGAATTTGTATCTAAACAGTTCTTTTTTACCGCTAGTGTACAATAAAAGATTGATTGTTACGATTCCTGTTACATACGATAATAGCAACATTTGAGCAGTTCTTTTTGACCGCCAGTGTATTTCATGGTATTTAGTAATTAAAATAATTTACCATAACACTGACTATAGACGAGTAACTTAACTTCCAGAAAAAGGTAAGAATCTTGTCGTATTTTTGCCATTTTTCACAAAAATATGAGGGTAAACTTTGATTCTTTAAAAATTTACGGCTGTTGCGAGTTGCTATGACTGCAGTGCATGTTTCCACGTGCAGAAAAATATTTCCATACTTTTCTCAAATTCTTTTTCTCACATACCATGTACCCTTCAAAGCCCCCAAACCACATAACATTTCTAACAATCATTAACTAATTTCGTTTAACCGAGGCGAGGGGTTGCTGTAGTATGTAGCTACTATAGCGACGAAACAATCCATTCGACAATGACATAAGGAGAGCAGCCGTTATTGAAAAGGAACAGCGTTAATTTAAACGTATCTTTATCACAAATTGTTTGCGATCGACGATCGACAAGCTTTTCAGAGGCCTGTCCTAGACAAATCATGCCCTATTAACGAATCGACACAGTCTGTTTACGGATCGTAAACGAACAGTTCATTCCATACCAATGGTACGGATCGACAAGCTTTAGAGTGGCCTGTATAGCTTGGCCCATCTTGTGCTTTTTACCAATGGAAAAAATCTCTTTACGGATCGTACACTAACAGTCTATTCGACACCAATGGTACGGATCGATAAGCTTTTCAGAGCCCTATCCTAGACACATCTTCCCTATTTACGAATCGACACAGTCTGTTTACGGATCGTAAACATACAGTCCATTCGACACCATTGGTACGGATCGATAAGCTTTTCAGAGCCCTTTCCTAGACACATCTTCCCTATTTACGAATCGACACAGTCTGTTTACGGATCGTAAACAAACAGTCCATTCGACACCATTGGTACGGATCGACAACCTTTTCAGAGGCCTTTCCTAGACACATCTCGCCCCATTTACGAATCGACACAGTCTGTTTACGGATCGTAAACTAACAGTCCATTCGATACCAATGGTGCAGATCGACAAGCTTTTCCGAGGCCTATCTTAGACACATCTTCCCTATTTACGAATCGACACAGTCTGTTTACGGATCGTAAACGAACAGTCCATTTGATACCAATGGTACGAATCGACAAGTTTTAGAGGGGCCTGTAGCTTGGCACATCTCCTTTTTACCAATGGACAAAATCTGCTTACGGATCGTAAACCAACGGTCCATTCGACACCAATGGTACGGATCGACAAGCTTTACTGTGGCCTGTAAAGCATGGCACATCTTATCCGAATTACGAATTGACACAGCCTGTTTACAGATCGTAAACGAACAGTCCATTCGATACCAATGGTGCGGATCGACAAGCCTTTCCGAGGCCTATCGTAGACACATCTTCCCTATTTACGAATCGACACCGCCTGTTTACGAATCGTAAACCAACAGTCCATTCGACACCATTGGTACGGATCGACTAGCTTTACTGTGGCCTGTATAGCTTGGCATATCATGCCCAATTTACGAATCGACACAGTCTGTTTACGGATCGTAAACGAACAGTCCATTTGATACCAATGGTACGAATCGACAAGTTTTAGAGGGGCCTGTTGCTTGGCACTTCTCCTTTTTACCAATGGACAAAATCTGCTTACGGATCGTAAACCAACGGTCCATTCGACACCAATGGTCCGGGTCGACAAGCTTTACTGTGGCCTGTATAGCATGGCACATCTTACCCTGATTACGAATCGACACAGCTTGTTTACGGATGATAAACTAACAGTCCATTTGATACCAATGGTACGGTTCGACAAGTTTTAGAGGGGCCTGAAGCTTGGCCGCACATGTTATCCTTTTTACCAATGGACAAAATCTGTTTACGGATCGTAAACGAACAGTTCATTCGATACCAATGGTACGGATCGACAATCTCTTCATCGCCTTATCACACATCTTGCCCTGTTTACAAATAGACACAGTCTGTTTGGGGATACAGCTGCAACCATCACAATCTTCCAGCTCCGCAACATTAGAGCTCCATCTATGAAGCGTAAACTTGGCATCATCAAAAATCTTAATCGCTTTGGTTTTCTTCTCTCTGGCAAGTTCCACTGTATGTGCTCCACTCAATAGGTCATCAACATACATGCATCGCTTAAGCTCTGCCTCAATCTCTGGCATCTTGCTCTCTCAAGGTGTTGCTCAATCACTCCCCAGTAGAAACGGGGATGACGTCAGGCCGAACAGGTCGCTCGTTAATCTATAAATATGTGTCTCAGCTTCCTGTAAAACCCGAGGGCGTCCCTATCTTGTTGTTTGATCCGAATCTGCAGGAAAGCCTTCTCAATGTCTCAATTCAGGGCTACAGGAAAGGATCGATGACGGTCAAGGACGTCCCACAGCTTGTTTTGGAGAGGTTGGCGCGGGTAAAGGCATTTATTTAAGGATGGTGCGCTTTCGCCAGCCTGGCAAGGGCATGACTATACGAATCTTTCTACTTTGTCGAATCACTGGTTTATGTGGCAGTTAAAACTCTAGCCCAAGGATACTTTGATCTTTATGTTCTTCGATTACAACACGATTGTACTCGGTTGTTATCCCTTCACGGTTTAATTTCTTGGTTAGCTTGTTTAAGCGAAGGCTTTCTTCTTTATTAGATGGTAAGGGAGGATGGTTCCCTCGCCAAGGAAGCCCTGTCTCGTACCATCCCTCGGGGCTTCGCACTAGCTGCTCCTTAAACTCATTGTAAACAGATTCTTGATCATGTACCGACGTGTCAGTAAACCCAAGTACGTTAAGGTGACATAACTTCTCATAATCATGCTGTGAAGTCTGTGTCAACAACATTTGGCTGCGATCAAATTCTTTACCAGGGGAAATAATGAACCATCCTGGCTTTGTCAGTGGTCATCAACAGACAACAGTTCGCTCTTATTTACCTTGATTAAGTCTACATGCATTTTGAAATCACCGTCCCCAGATTCAATTCTCCCATATGTCTCAAGGCGTTCAACCTTCGTTTTCATAAGCATATCGATCTGCCTTGTTTGATGTCAATTGATTTTTGATATGAGATTTTCCAGTCCCAACTTCTGAATCGAACTCCCAACTTCTGAATCTACCAGGATCACCATCCCTTAACAGTCATAAGCTTCTTCTCCTCTTTTGGTTGATCACAAATGGACGCATGAATGCCGTAGATCGCTTACAATTCTGACATTATAGTTTTCTCGCACAGCTCGCTGCCTGGTGGGCTTCACCCATCACAATAGACACACCCACGATAATGAGGTGATTGAGAGTATACGTAATACTCTCAATCACCTCATTATTTCGATTTAATTCTCTCAACTACCCGTTTGGAATTATCGGCAATACTTGCTAGCTCTTTTAATGCCTTTAGATGACACTCCGTTGATGATTGTTTGTCGAGAAATCTTCTCTGTTTTGTTTGATTAATCTAGAGTTGCCTCAGTAATTCCGCTCGAGCGTTTGTTGTTTTTTCCTTAAACTCGCCATAAGATTGCACGTTCATGCTCTTGTTCGAGCGTATTTCGCTACATCCCGTCGGAGGTACCCCGTGTTGAGAATTATCCGTTGCCCAGATATAAACTACTAACAACAAGCTACAAATCTCAATATTTAATCAATATAAGTATAAGTCGCCTCACATTTTAAGCCCCTCTCTCAAAATCACCACCCAAGCGCATGTAAATAATGTTCTACGATTGGTTAGAATTTATTGGATTAGTGATTACGTAACTACATCAAGTTGAAAGGTTAGTCGCATTAGTAATATTGTAGTATGTATTTAAGGAAAGTTTGTATTAGTTTCGACACAACATTGCCATTCTTGCCATCTTGGTTACCAGAATGTGATCAATGTATTTAATACCGGTGTTTCAAATTGTTATGTACCTTGTGCTAAAGTTTCACTCAGCAACTACTGCATGTGGGCTTGGCAGAGGATTTTCTCTTAACCAATTTTTTAATGTGTCATTTTAATTTTTAATATTGGTAGGTTTTATTGCTTCGTCAGCGTCATTCAGCGCCTTTGAATCCAGAATGGATTACTTTGGCTACTAAGCAACTTAAAGGTGCTGACCCAGAGAAGCTGTTGACATGGAAAACTCCAGAGGTATGGAATATGTCAAAACAAATTGGATTGCCTGCAAATAGTGGCCATTTAGGCATATAGATATCTCATTTGGACTTCTTTATTACTAATATTAAAAACCACTAGCTAATTAGTTGTTTATCTTCCACTTCAATTACACCCCTTGTATAATTAACAGTAAATATTAATACCGTACATTTATTTAACTTTTTACTCCGGGCGTGAGCGACGGAGTTGAAAATTCGCCTTGGTTTTGTTTTGTTTTGTTTTTTATTTATTTTTTATTTTTTTTCGTCGTCGCAAGTGTGTTTTGGCGCGAAATATACTAGTATTTGAAATATGTATGTGACCGTATTTATCTACGTCACAGTTTTGTCTTCCAAGAGTTGTGGTGCACAGCCTTGGCTAATTTTCCGATGCGCGATTTGATTTCGCTCGCATGACACGGCAATTACTCCAAGAGGAACAAATAAACCGTTCTTTTGATGCTGCTCATTTAAGTTTAGATTGAGTTGGAATCAGAAAATATTTAATTAATTTTCGCCGTTTAACAAGATGTTGTCGTGTATGGGCCCTTTGACACGTCGCAGTTTGCACAGGATTGAAGATTCAATATAACTATATAAGCTCGAATTCCAAAGGCAAAGTGTAAAAACAAAGTTGTTACACGACCCCTATTCTTTGTATCTTTCAGCGGAATCGTCGGGACCGTAGGGGGAATAGCCCAGTAACATATACTAGATTAGAACCGCAACAATGACTTCTTTGCCTTATAGAAATTATTAAAAACTGTGCCTCCGGCTCGTGCTGTTGCCTCTCACACTAACTTCAACTAATGACTAATCACTATTCACCGCTTCCGAGTGTCAAGTGTCTAGCAATTAAGCATTGTTCATTGTTTCACAATGTTTCCTTGTTTAGTTGTGCAACGCCCGCGTGCATAATTGCTAATAGCTATAACAAAGTGAACGTATCATGCGGTTTATACTAGGTTACCTGCAAGGTAGGGATTGCTGCGAGCATTTTAGGGTCCAAGTGAACTGTTATATGAAATGTTAGTAAACTAAATCCGTTTTAACTAATAGTAATAGCAGGTTTAAAACACGTAAAGTGAACCTCTATTGAGCGTTAACTCGCTGGGGCTGTACATGAATTAATACCTGTTAGCGAGAACACTGTCAATGACGTCAATATGTAGGTCAATATATGCTATATCAACTTTTATCTCGAAATTGTTTTGAAATAGGCTGGTTTATATTATGATTTCGCGAGTAAATTTGCTATAAAGAAAAAAGATTTATAAATGTTCAATTGCCCAAAGGATTTGTAGATTGCACTCGGCAAAAACGAATCATCTGAAAATAGCCATTTTACAGTGTCATGAACACCAATTTCCCCGGTGTTGGATAGACCCGGGAGTGTTTTTCCCGCTGTCAAGGGTAACTGAGGAGAGAACGCTGTCTTGCGAGTTACAGCTCGTTGAAGTCAAAGTCTTTAGAAGCAGCTAGTTTTAAAAATATTTTAACATACGAATCACGACAGGAATATTAACAATAATAGTAATATTAGGTAGAATTTTGCGCGCGTATATATAGCGACATTTTCCCCGCAACAAAGTTGAAAGTATTGTACCTTTCAGTTTCCGCGCGGAAAACATTGTTTGGGCGCAAAATTCCGCCTAGCGAAAATACAGGCCCTTAGCAGTAGCACATGCTTAACAAAATAAAACATTTTTAGGTAACATGGATATTTGTTTTTGAAATATGCTATTTGTCTTTGTTGTAAGAGTCCATGTAAATGTTTGGCTTCATGTGAAGAGTAACAAAACATCACTTAATACTTTGAACTTTGAACGCGCTCGAGAAGACGTGTAATCAGAAACCACGTGAAGATCCGGTAAAAGCACTAAATATCAAAAACATTTAGCTCATTGTAAAATAGGAATAAAAACATATGCCTATGCTTACAGTAACCTAATATAAAATAAGTCAAACATTGCACGAATCTGAGTGATTCAGTCAGGCAATTTAGACGATCAATTGCATATTTTATCTGCGACTGTGTCATGTTATTCGAGATGTTATTAATTAAACACGACTCGCAAGCGTCAAGCCGCGTACTTGAAACATCATTTGATGCAAAATATGGAAATCAACAAAACAATGCAAATGTCAATGGATAAAAAAGACTTTAAGGCATTTGTATGTATGAACGAAAGATGAAAATATCTTACCTTGAATAGTCAAAATAGAACAGAAGCTTTATGTAACAAAAATTTGAAGACCCTGTCCTTCGAAATCAAAAAGCACATGGATATGAGGGGGTTAAAAATTTGTGTTCTACGCATCAAAAAGCGCACGACCACAATTTCTTGCGCTAAATAAAATTTAGTTCAGAACCCCCTCTCTGCACAAATTAGACTGCTGCTACGCTCGCTCGCTTCAGGCTCGCTCGCTCCGCAGCAATAACAAAGTGAAGGTATCATGCGGTTTATTTAAATTTTTGAACAATTGAACTTCTCTACTTTTTAAAGTGCGATGTGCTTTTGAATGTCGCGATCGAACAACATTTAGGTTCGCAAGGCACCTAAATGAGTATGAACTGTATTGTTTATGGTCAGTGTAGAAGACTGGCACGTGCACGGCACACCGGAGTGAACGCCAGAACAGGCGTCTTGTTTAATTTAAGTAAGGATTAATTCTGCTGCATGTAAGTGGTAGTTGTTGTTATGAAAGTTAATCCTAATTATGACTGTATTGTCGATACACACACTTTTGACACGGAGCACCTTTGACTGGAAATTACGTGTTTCAAAATGCTGTTACACTGCTCCCTGGTTGCTATAGATTTTGTTATAGGTTTTGTATAAATTTTGAAGATAAAAAATATCCAATGGTTATATTAGAAATCTAAAAACCTGGGGCTGTTAGATTATTTTTATTTATATAATGTTTTCTTTGTTCGATCTTTGTTTTAGTCACTTATGTAATTTTAGATTAATGAATATTTTAGACTGTGTTACCTTTGAATACAACTTTTTAAAATCCAATTGGTTACAATGATAAAAAATCCCCAAAACAGGCCAAATAATGTTTGCTGGATGAGTCCTAATTCAAAGCATGTCTATATGGAAAACAAATTGTGATTACATCAGTGAGTATACAAACAGTAACTTAATTATCCCACAGATAAGATATTATTATATACTTAATGCATTCATGGAACACATATCATGTAGTAATTAATTTTATAACATGAAAATTTAAGGCTTCCATTCAGTAGCCAGTGTCGTAAACATGTCAGGGTGAATGATGTGATAGAATATTTCTATTTGTTTACAGTCAACAATGACTGATTTGAATACAGAAATAAAGGCAAATTTATACAACCGGACTATTTCTCATTGGTGAAAATGACTCGTTCACGACAATTACGATTAAATAGAAACTAGAGAGATTAATGAGCAATTATGATGAATAATGCAGGGGGGAATACTAAACAGGACTCTGCGGCTCAGATCTTGAATAGCAGAATAATGTTGTTTTTGACATGTTTGTCGTAGCGCGTAACAGGGTCAAAAGTTTTTCTCTCGCGGATTGCGGAAAATGTTAAACAGGATGTTTTTTCTTTAATGGAAAAACGAAAGATAAGCCAACCTATTACAGTCGCGGCAATAGAAACTTTCCGAAAAATATCAGGGAACTCATTTGCTCAAATTTTTCAGCCGGCTTACGTCAAATATTTGAAACTCTTACCTCCCGGTTTCGAATTGACCAATTATATGCGTCTATTTATTTTATTATCCAATAGTATTAGAGATTCGTCAATTCGAAACCAGAAGTTAGGAGCTTTTCAAGTTTTTCAAATGTTTGATGACCTCCGTAAGCCAACTGATAAATTTTAAAAACTGAATTACTCGATATTTTTCGGAACGCTTTCGGAACCTGTAAATTTTATTTGAAGGCAAACGGAAAGGTTTAATTTCAGCTAAACTTCGTAAATGCCCACCTACTGAAACTGAAACTTTTTGGTCAAAGCATGTGTATTTTAAACTATGGAGGCCTAAATCTAACGAGTATAAAACTAATGATAATAATAAAACTAATAAACGTACTATTACCCAGGGGCCAGTTGTATAAAAGGCTAGTTAACTTTTAACTGTAGTTAGTGACAGTTATACCTTCGTCACAGAGACATGGTTACCTGGTTAGCCGAACGGTTGCCAGAAGAGGCTGTTACAGTAATTGTCATTAGCAGACTACAACTAGAAGAGATTGACCTACAGTAATGGCCAGCTAGGGAAAGGGGCAATTTATATTAACGATACAGTGAGCCTTTCTCGCGATGACGAGTATGCCGCCATTTTGGGGGTACTTTTTTTCAAAACCGTGAGCGCAATACCTCGTAACGGCGACTGTCTTTAATTTTTGGCTGAGTTTATTCTTCAAATTGTTTGTTTATTGTAAAAAAATGCTTTTCATGTTGTCATAATTTTTTAAACCTATTTGAGAAAATTGGAAGTCGTTGAACAACCAACAATAAGGGAAAATTATAGCTACTTGATCTAAATTTTACCAACATGTTCAACTTATATATATTGCTAACATTCTAAATTCCAAACGTAGCTATATAGCCACTTTTTCGTATACATAACTTGTAATTTCCATTGTAATTTGCCTGTTCCGAAATGGGAAATATCTTCATAATAATAAAAGTATAATAAACGGAAAAATAGCACACCTGGGCTTATTCATCGAAATTTGTCGTCCCCCCTATCAGAAACTTGCCTCCAATAGCTTACTACCATTAATTCTGTGGGCACAATTCCGATTCGGCAAGTCTAATCTTGAAGTTAACTTTAGCTTGTTAAAGGTGTCTTTGATGTTTGCGGTATTACAGTAAAGATATCTCGAATACCGTATTTACTCGAATGAGCGCTGCTTCCGATTGAGCGCTGCCTCCGATTGAGCGCCGCCCCCGAATGAGCGCCGCACTATTTTTTTTTCAAATTCGGCGCTTAATCGACGCACTGTCAGAACGCGACTCGCTGTCAATATGGGGACATTTGGGTACATCTAACTTTCAAATCCTTTTATTTAAAGTTCTTGTTACAATTCACAAATGATATTTTTTAAAGAGCGCCGCCCTCGATTAAGCGCGGCATCTGAAGTTCTAAAAATTTAAAGAGCGCTGCGGCGCTCAAACGAGTAGATACGGTAGTAAGAGTATTATGTGATATTACCACGGTCGCTGTTTGTTATTTGTATATAACTAAAACTAGTATTTGTTCATTTTATATTATTTTTGATAAAAAATTGCAAGTATAAATAGAGATTCTATCAATCTTTGGAACTCGTTGCATATTACATTTTTTTAGGGAATCAATATCAAACCGCTGTACACCAAAGAAGATACTGTTGGACAAAAAGATGAAATCCCTGGTCAATACCCTTACACACGAGGACCATATCCAACCATGTATGCCCAACGACCGTGGACCATCAGACAGGTACAAATGTACATTGTAAGCTGATATCGCACGTTGCAAGATACATCATAATCAGTGATAATTTCCTGTATATTTAGCGAAATTGCTATTTGAAATCAATATTTTTCATCATCCTCTTTTTAAACGAGGTCTTGCAAGCGATCAAAGCTTATTGTCTTACTCGTGCTGAGTTCGAGCATTTAAAAGCGATTGGGACGAGCATTCGTCACGATGTCGCCAGGGGATTAAGATCTAATTAAATTATTTTCTATTCTTGTTGAATTGAAGTCGTGGAATGTTTTACGATTTTATCGTGAGTTGAAATAAAAAATCCGCTTTTCTGAAATGTCTGATGACATTTTAAGTTCGAATAGTCCGAATTTGACCTCCGCATTCTTAATTGTAATGTTTTTCTTATACAGCTACAATCGTTGCAACTGTTTGCTGAGTTCGCACGCTGGCGCGACGCTGACGATCGATAATCCATCGTTTGATAATGCATGTTTATTCTTATTAAGAGGAGATTTTTTAGAAAGTCGCGTATTTTTGCCCCAAATCGCTCAAAACTTAGCAACCAGGCCTTCGCTAAAATATGCTTCGCAGCCATTTTGAATTTACAAGTTTGGTAACGTTTTCGTGTCGAGAGACAGCTGTTTTACTAACTTTTGGAGAATTTCAAAAGGCGAAAAGCTCCTTGAAATAAAGAAGAACATCAGGTGAGTGTTCGTTTAATTTTTTTAGTATTTTGAATAATATAATTTTCCATGCGTACATTTTTGTTAGTGCGAAGGAGTGACACACAGGCACACACTAAAGTATAAACAATTAAACATATTGAAATATACTGATTAAGTTTGATTTTAGTGATTTAGAATTAACCTTGTGATAGAATAAAATTCTCAAATTTCAACGTATTTATTCCTAGGTCTCCAACACATATTGGAAAATATGAACAAATCAGAACAATAGTTTCAGATGACAGATACCAGTAAACTACTAAACTCGCATAGTGGATACTTATGTCACTTATGTGTAGTAGCTTGAAGATACAATAATAAAAAAAGACCCTAAATAATCTATTTCAAGAAACAACACAAGAAAGAAAGAGAAAGTCAAACTATCTTTATTCATTTCAAGAACAACTGCCCTCTCTATTTTAAAAATGAATTCCTTGTGTGGTGGGTACATAATATGGGACATGTAGGACAATTGGTGGAACAATCATGGGACAATTTATTCCAAAATTATGCAGCTGTACATATAGTGTGATATATGTGTACATATAGCTGTACATTATAATGTGACTTTGTTGTTAAAATATTATATCAATAATTGCAATAAATAGTGTAGTTCACTTATACTGTAATAATTAGGAGGGAGTCTAAATACTTACGAATACTTTCAAATTATAATACTCATCTTTGTGAATACAGAGAAAATTTGATTGGAAACATTTTCATTTTTTTTTACGGTTAAACACAAGGAAATGTAATGTAATACATGATAGCACATTTCTTGTGAAAAAAATGTAACAAAGCCACCTTAACTACAATGGCAAACTACCAAAGTTATTGTGCCACTAATTATTGTTTTCACAGCAATCCCTTATAAATATAATTGCCTAGGTATTTCAATTACATCAATATATTGTTAATACAGGTGCCACTTCATTTGGTATACTAATGCCTAAAATAAATATACAACATATGGTTGATTTTAAAAATGTCAAAAAACGACCACGGACCTACCACCCAAATTTGAACAAAATTGTATTTCTTGCACACTACAATAACTGGGGCTTATCATAAAATATAAATTAGTTTGATCGGAAACAATTCTGCACTGAATTTTAATGGCTAAACTTAAGGTTCGCATAAAGTCCCTTTTTGACAAAAAGGACCTAAATAAAAACCTATGGATTTTTTAGATGAAAATTGTTTATTCAGTAAATTAATTGCTACGAATTTTGTAATATAAACTAAGGAAGGTGTCTATATGCCTCAAAGTATCTCTATTCAAATTCTACTCAAGAAGTAGATAGCTTTTCTGAGATGTCAGGTAAACATGTGCTGTGATAATTGGAAAATTGCTTGATTTTGAAAATGTCAAAAAACGACCATGGACCTACCACCCAAATTTAAATCAAATTATACTTTTTGTAAACTACAATACCCAGGGTATATTGCAAAATATAAATTAGTTTGATCGGAAACAGTTTTGGGGTAATTTACCAGTGTTGAACATAGGTTTTAGCAATAGACTAATGTTTTAAGTTCATGTCAAATCAAGCAAAACCTCAGCAATTATTTTAGGTACATCTAATGTTTGGATTTTAAAACTAATGCATGCTTTTACACAAAATACATCTATTGCAAAAGAAAATCACGTACAATACAGTATTTCCGTCTAATATTTAAGATATACGGTCAAAAGTGCTGATTGTAATACATTTTTCCAATGGCAATTCCAATATTGAATTGTTTGTAAAATAAGATGGTATATTGATAAGATTAGGCACTAAAAGTTCTACGAAACTGCAATTTTTTAACACTGATATGTCAAAGGATCACATTATATTTTATTCATTGTGATCACAGGCAGTTACCTAGCTAAAAAACAGTAAAATGATAATCATACAATCCTAACTTCTATAAACTGCAATCATAGCGAACTCTTGTATAACATTCCACCGTCCTTAATTATTTGGCAAACAGTGAATCCATTTTGTCTAGGAGTTTCATATCTTTAGATGATCACATGCTTTTTATTTTCTGTTAATTTGCATAACTTTCCCAGAGTTATGGTTGTTAAAACGGCACTGAAACACTCATACTATTTGAAATCCGGCCGCCATGTTTACATGGAATTGCTTCTATCAACTTCCAGACTCCACACTCCAGCAATCTGATTGGTTTTGAGCGCTCAATACGCGAGTTTGTAAAAAATCTCCTCTTAATGATCTCAAAGATTGTCGAAGCTCTCCCTCCAGCAGAGAAGGTTCATTCGCGCGATACTACAGTAGCGTCTAACTAGATCTTGGCCGCTGCCGATCGGTAGGGATGGAGACGGTAAAGGCTCACACAGACAGACGCGAATTGGCAACGTGGCGCGAATTTTCAACGCTTTTTATTTTTCAAAATCAAATAATTCTGAAACAAATAAATTTTCAAATAAACGCGATCGTGTTAGGTCAGGGGATGCGAATGTTCTTTAAGACTTGCTGATTTTGACAATTTTTTTAGGAACTTCTGGACCTAAACCGTACCTCTCCATCCCGTTGTCACATGCACAGTCACACGCGATTCACTGCGGTGAATCCGCGGAGTGGAGAAAAATATACACGAACAATAATACAATAATACATTTAATGTTTCTGTCCACTAATTAGATTTTGGTCCACCAATTGTACAATGCAGAAAACCATTTTCAAATGAAATTGTTCGATTTTCAAATGAACCTAATATATCGGGTTATACATTTACTTTTGCAGTATTCTGGCTTTAGCACAGTGGAAGAGAGCAACAAATTTTACCGAGACAACCTAAAAGCCGGGCAGCAAGGGCTAAGCGTTGCTTTTGACCTTCCAACACACAGAGGGTGAGTTTAATTTGCATTATAATCATTTTAATATAAAAGTGAGCGATAAAAGATTTACACGACGTTTCGATGTCATAACATCATTCTCAAGTGAATTAAAACTAGAATAAACATGTCCTTGCTATGAGCTAAACAATATGCATTTGTCCTGAGCAAGGGCTAATCGACCATGACTGTGTACAATAAAAATGGATTATTAAAATTCTACATTACATCATTAAATACGTTATGAATAAAGGATAAAAGCTATGGTGTAATAATTAAAATAATTTAGATTTAGTAGAATCCGACTGTCTATTTAAGCTATAGCTTAGCTCTTTATGAAAAGCATTTCGAAAACCAGACAGTCAAACTTTTTTCCGCATTTTCGAAGAACTGAGAACCTCCCAAGCAAGTCATCCAAAATCTGTCCATGCGCTTCCTTGGCATGCCTTTCATCAATCGTGGTTTTATGCTCATCAACGCGTTGATATAAGTGTCGGCACGTGTATCTGACATAACCAGCGTCGCACTGGTCACACTTAAAACGATGCACAAAGCATTGTTGAGACAATAACACCGGTTTTCTTTCACGTATCCTGAGTTGCTCACCAACTTTCTTACTGACGAAGACAGGTCTCAGGAACTTTCCTACTTTGTTAGATAGATCAGACAGCTGCCGCTTGACAACTGTTGCTGACTTCTAATCTTTGAAATTACAAGGTAGGCTAATGTTTATACTGTCACATTTATCAAACTTACCAGAAGGGACGCTGTCTTGTGAACCAGGAGTATTGTCTACAGCATCCGCTGTCATAAATTCCAAAATCACGGATTTAACCAACGCCTCGGGGTATTTCAGCTGTACAAACCGTGAAAAAATTCTGTCACATTCCTCTTAAAAGAATTCAAATGATGATGACAATCTCTTGGCACGATATAGCATGGTTTTGATCAGTCCGGTCTTGTATCGCTTGTCGACATAAATCTGGTAGTGTAGCAAAAGCCCCGTATCTTTAGGCTTTCGATAGACGCTGGTGGAAATGGAAGTATCTTTCTTTGTGATAAGCATACCAAGGAACGGGAGTTGACCATCCTTCTGAACCTCCATGGTAAATGCGAGTGATGGGTTAGCGTCATTCAGCGTTTGATGGAATGTATTCGCTGTACCAATGTCGGTAGAATGGTTGAAAGTGTCGTCAAGGTAGCGACTATAATCTTCTGGCATTTTTCCATTTCTCTCTATAATGATCTCAATCCTTGCTCAGATTTGTATAACTGTATATTTTGTTTCTCTCTATATATATTACTTTTCATGTGCTCTGACTCTTCCTCGCTCTCATACACTCTCTATATTATTGTCTTTCATTAACTGTCAATCCGTTCTAATATTCTATTGTCCAAGCTTAATTATCTATAAATAACAGTTATGTATATTACATCACCCTTTTTTTTTTAAAACAATATTAACATTTAACAAAACATAATTGAATCATATACTGAATGTCCAAATCTATCAGGTTTTCCTCTGACTCGGCTCGATCTTCGTGTCGATATTTGATCTTGATGTCCAACATTTGTTGCCGCTGGTAGTGTGATGGTATTGTTCCTCTTTTGATGACGTTCTCTCTCATTATCGTCATCACTGTCCGTATCATCCCTTGGCTTTGGTATGCGTTTAAACTGTGACACATTTCGTGTGATAACGTGTCCGTTCTTGCTTCTTGCTTTAACCTGTGAATACGATCTGTGTGTGACTACGTATGGAACGTTGTTGTAGTTCGCAGTCAATTTGTTCTGCTTGTCCTGACAAACTAAGACATAGTCTCCTATCTTAATTTCACTCTCTTTTACGTTTCTTTTTTCATTCGCATATTCTTTGTTGTATCGCTGTCTCTCCATTTCATTCTTTTTAGCAATATTGTGTTTGTTAACAATGTTCCGCTTTTTCAATTCTGGAAGCTTTCCTTTCACTGTACGGTTAAATAGTAATTCCGCTGGTGGAAATTTCCTGGAAGAGTGTGGTGTTGTCCTGTACTGTAACAAGAAACGATGTAGCTCTTGCTGCCAGGGTCTTCTTTCAATGTGAGCGGTTCTTAGCGTTTTTCCAATGGGGTGCATGAATCTTTCCGCTTCTGCATTGCCCTGGGGCCATTTAGGTGTTGGATGGATATCTTTGATTCCAAGAGTTGTCAAATAACGATTATATTCTGCACTATTGAAAGGCGGTCCATTGTCTGTCTTGATAGTTGTTGGGATGCCATGACGGGCGAACATTTGATCTAATTTTGGTATGACCGCAGAAGCTTTGTCGAGCGTACTACTTCAACTTCGGGATATCTGGAATAGCGATCAATTGCGACCAGAAGGTATTCTCCTGAAGGAAGTGGTCCGTAGAAATCAAATGTATCGTTTCCCATGGTCCCTTTGGCATTGTTGTCGTTGATATTGGCTCTTGTGGTGGTGCTTTACCCACTGCTTGACAAGGAATGCACTTCTCGATTGCTGCTTGCACCATTTTATCAATATTCGGAAACCAAATCTTTTCTCGGATTAATGATTTCGTTTCGGTAATGCCAAGATGAGTTTCGTGCGCAATGTCAATCGCACGTTGCTGTAGCGATTCTGGTATCACTATACGAGAACCACGAAGAACCACGCCCTTTGTTGTCACAGTAAGTTCGTCTTGTACTTGTTTATAAGGCTTGACTACCTCGTAGTGCCACTTGTTGAGCTTTATAGCTGCCCGAACTCCTCGTAAGGTTTTGTCCTTTTTCGTTGCTTCTTCGATTTCCTCTATCGTCAGTGCTTTCGGAACACTGGAGCGAGCAATAAAGTTTATGTGCTCCTCGGTCATTTTCTGCTGTTTGTAGCTTTTTCCTGTTGGGTGGCGCGATAGATAATCAGCCGGATTGTTAGCTCCTGGCTTGTATCTTACTTGAAAAGGATAAGGTTGTAAGCTTAACACCCAACGTTCTATTCTTGCTGATGTTTTGGAGTTTCTGTTGCCGTAGATTACTTCTAGTGGTTTATGGTCTGTGCTTAGAACGAATTCGTTTCCGTACAGGTATAGATGAAAATGTTCCACTCCCCAAATAATAGCCAGCGCCTTTCTCTCGGTTTGGAAGTATCTTTGTTCGACTTCTGTTAATGCTCTACTCGCATATGCCACTACTTTCACGTCGTCTTTTCCTTGGTTTCTCTGCGAAAGGATTGCTGATATGCCGACTGGACTCGCATCAACTGTTACCAGTGTCTCTTTATTTTTGTCAAAATATGCCATGCACGATGCTGAAGCTAAGGTGGAAGTTAACGTGTTGTATGCGTTCTGATGAATGTCGGTCCACACGAAAGGTGTCTTTTTCTTCGTTAATTGGCGCAATGGAGCTGTAATGGTTGCAAATTTCGGAATATATTTGGCACGATAGTTTGCCATGCCAAGGAGACTTTTTACTTCAGAAATGGTTTTGGGTGCCGGCGCGTTCTTTAAAGCTTCTACACGTTGGGGTCAGGTTTGCTGCCGTCTTTGGAAAATACTTGTCCGAAAAATTCCAGTTTGTCATTCAAGAAGCTACACTTAGCTTGATTCAAGCGTAGTCCTTTGTCGGAGATTCGTTTTAGACATTTATTCAAGTTTGTGTTATGTTCTTCCTGTGTTTTGCCATATACTAAAATGTCATCAGCTATATTCTTTACTCCGACTAATCCTTGCAATTGGGTTTGTAAAGTGTACTGAAAAATCTCAGCAGCTGCATTGGTGCCATAGGTGCCTTTTGCATAGGTGCACTGCTATAGGTGCCATGAAAAGACCGATGTGTATACTGAATGTAGTAATGTAACGACTGTCTTCGTGTAGTTCTAGCTGATGATAGGCCTGTGTAAGGTCTAATTTGGAAAAACACGTTGCTCCATTTAACTCAAGCTGATGTCCTCAACTGTTGGAATAGGGTGTCGTACCCGTTTTATAGCTTCGTTGGCAGCGCGCATATCGACGCATATACGAACGTCCCCGTTCTTTTTCGGTACTGCTACAATTGGCGATACCCAAGGTGTAGGTTGGTTTTCTGGTACCCGTTCAATAATATCGTCTTTCTCTAGTTGTTCTATCGCGTTCTGGACCTTCTGACGTATGTGATAGGGAATTCGGCGTTGTGGCTGTGCTCGGGGTGTTGTTGTTTTATCAACGTTTAGTTTGATTTTCTCTTGCTTGAGTTTACCCAACCCGTGGAAAACTTTTGAATGTTTGTTTAGAATATTTTGGAGTTCACGATCTTTTGTTTCAGTTACTTTGTTAAGATGAAAACTTACCAGGCCAAGTTCTCTGCTGTTGTTGCTGATATTAGATTTCCGCTGTCTGTCGTTTCTGCGACGTAAAAAGTTGCCACTGCAACTCGACGGCGAGTCTCAATAGCTTCCTCAAACTTACCAATGAACTTTACTGGCTTGCTAGCAGTATACGCAAACGCTTTTGTGTTCGTTTTCTTTAATTTTATTCCTGGTATTTTCTTGTATGTACCTCAGTCGATGACATTGATCGTTGCGCCTGTGTCTACGGTAGCTTTGAACGATCGTCCGCATACTTTAACATTGACTTTGGGGGTCTTGTCATTAGAAACTGTGTATAAATATTTGTTGGCAGAACTGTCCGTCTCGCTCTGAACTTCATTTAGTGGATTTAGTGGTCGTTTGTGTTTCTGTTTCGGTTTCATTTCATGTTGAAAGGCTTTTGTCTGACGTTGTATCTTTCCTCGACACACTCGAGCAAAATGGTTTCCCACATTCTTTACCTTTAGCTGGGCATTGTCCTTCATGAGGATACGTACCACCGCAATTGTGACACGTTTTCAATGTTGTTTTCGATGATACTTTGTTGACACGATCTGTATTTGTGTCTTTTGATTCGATGTCTCGCGCTTGAAATGTACTCATCTCGGCACGGCGACCATCGATAAGTATTGACTTAAGATCATATGTCGGGTCTCGTAATGCCTTGTTTCGAATCCGTGAAGATGAACCGGCCGTAATAATTTGTTGTTCTATTTCGAAATCCGCGTTGTGAAAGGAACAGGTTTGTGCTAATGTCCGTAGTCGTGTATGGAATTGATCAAGGGTTTCGTTCGGTTCTTGTTTCGCTTGTCTAAAGCGGTAAACTGCGTATCGGCGATTTTCTTGCGGTTGGAAGTATTCGTGAAGCTTTGTTTTCGCGGCTTCGTAATCAGTTGCGTCTCCCGTATCAGGTATTTGTCTAAATATCTCGCGAACCCGTTTGCCAGTTTGATATAATAGCAATGCGCGTTTTCTTCGCATCCGTAATTCCACTAGCGAGGATGAACATCTCGAAATCTTGGATCCAAATGTTCCAACGCGTGCCTAAGCTTTCGCCAACATCGGCGTCTGGATTAAATTCTGGCAATGGTTGTAGTGAAACCGATTGCGTATTTACTGTGATATTTTCTTGTGGCTCGGCTTTTCCTTCAGCCATTCTCGTCGCCAATATAATGATCTCGCTCCTTGCTCTGATTTGTATAACTGTATGTTTTGTTTCTCTATATATATATATTACTTTTCATGTGCTCTGACTCTTCCTCGCTCTCATACACTCTCCTATTATTGTCTTTCCTTAACTGTCAATCCGTTCTAATATTCTATTGTCCAAGCTTAATTATCTATAAATAGCAGTTATGTATATTACACTCTCCAATTTACCTTCGATTTTACACATAGCATTGGCCTGAAGTGGACCCAAGGGTGAGCCCATAGCTACACCATATACCTGCTGATAAAATTGACCATGGAACTGGAAGAGTTAGTCTTTGGTTGTAATGTCAAGCAATTCGGTTAATTGTTTCTTAATCAAGTTAAGATCGTATGTTTCATTAAACCAGTTGCCTTCAAATGCCTCTTGGACGATGTATTCAATGGTTTCATCTACGGGTACGTTGGTGAACAAGGCTGTTACATCGTACGATACCATGACGTCGGAAGCATGTACTTGCTTTTGATTAATCTGATCAGCAAACTTCAGTTTCTCGTCTAGCCATTTAGCCAGCTTGTAGTTATAGGTATTGGTTGCAGACAGAATAGGACGCATATCCGACACTTATATGAACGCGTTGAGGAGCATAAAACCACGATTGTTGGAAGGCATGCCAAGGAAGCGCATGGACAGATTTTGGATGACTTGCTTGGGAGGTTCTCGGTTCTTCGAAAATGCAGAAACAAGTTTGACTGTCGAAATACTTGTTTCGAAATACTTTTCATTAAAGAACTAAAGCCTGGCTTAAATGGACAGTCGGATTCTATCAAATCTAAATTATTTTGATTAGTCCTATGTTGTACATTATACATTATTACACCATAGCTTTTATCCTTTATTTATAACGTATATATATATATATATATATATATATATATATATATATATATATATATATATATATATATATATATATATATATATATATGTATATATATATATATATATATATATATATATATATATATATATATTTAGTGATGTATTGACTATTGTAGAATTTTAATAATCCATTTTTATTGTACATAGTCATGGTCGATTAGCCCTTGCTCAGGACAAATGCATATTGTTTAGCTCACAGCGTAAATAATAACATGTTTATTCTAGTTTTAATTCACTTGAGAATGAGGTTATGATGACATCGAACTGTCGTGTAAATCTTTTATCGTTCACTTTTATATTAAAATGTCTGAAAAGAAGTCATTTTATTCGATTATAATAATTAGTTATAATTTTGCATATGGTCCAAAATCTTTTGTTCAAAAGTTGATGGCAGTTTTCTATGTCTTGAAAATCTCCGATTAGGATGATGTTATACCGACTTCCCTATGCCGTTGAAGTTGTTTCTTTTATATTTATTTTAATTGGTATTCTAAAGTGATTGACTCCAAGATTGCCATTCTCGCCGGCTGGTTCACGCCATATAAACTCTTCAAGATACTAGAGCATGATTCGTTTTTAGTATTGTGGTGAGTGGCGAAAATTCACAAACTCCGGAGGGTGCTTTAGATTTGTTTTCCTAATGATTTATTTTACATATTCACAAATCAAAAGGTTATTTAAAGTATTTTAATTTTCGTACTTAAATATTCTTCAGGCTCTTTCCAAGTTCGCAAAAAATATCGAAAAATCTTTGTCGTTACTGGAAATTTTCCTTAAGTATGAGGTTGGGTCCGCTGTTTAAAAATCGAGAATTCACTTTGCTACTATTTCAGTACTACTGTGTTTTCCAGCTGATCTGGGTATAAAAATCAACCAATCAGAAGCCAGATCTTCGACAAAACTGAATTATCATTTCCTTTATTGCATATGACTTCGACACTCGAAAATATCAAGTTATTTTTTATATTTATGTGAAAACACGTTTATATTTTTTCCAACTGCATATTAGAATTTAAATTTTTCACCCTTTATACTATTAGCTCGAAAAATAAGGACAAATAACACCAGGCACATGATAACTCAGTTTTTATCGAGACGCTTTATGACGTCAGCTGGTTCAGTATGAATATCTGTAATGGGATCAACAGAGGATTGCGAGTGATTGTCCGTTAGGTGCGTTTATACTATTAGCGGTAATGATATTGCTGACGCGATTATATCCTGGCAACTCACCTGAATAAACTGGCGATTCAACATATCGTATTATAGTTAAAACTGTTCAAAACAGACACAACAAATATGTTATAGGAGGGGAGTGGGGGGAGGGAATGTAGGCTCAGTAACATCATATGATGAAATTGTAAGGAATTTTGTGTAACTATTAGAAGTGTTGTTTTTGATCCGTTGGCTGATTTCGCCAATTGTGATTGGCTGGAAAATCTTATCAGCACGCGGTCACGTTAAAGTACGATTTTTACGTGTGTTAACACGATATTTTCACCCTGTGTCGAATATGATTTTTCTTTGTGTTGAAGAACTCTATGTACGCCCATGTTTTTATACATATTAAATATAGAGTAAACTTGGTTTAGTGGAGTAATTTTTTTATTTCTTCATTCAATACTGTGCATTAATTATATACGCATATAATAAAAAAATATAAATAAATTTTGTTCGCCTTTTTTTCTTTTCGGCACAAAGTTTTAAAATCTTGGTGTAGACATTTACCTTGTCTTGCAACATTATAGGTATGATTCAGACAATCCCCGCGTATTTGGTGATGTTGGTATGGCGGGCGTTGCCATTGATTCTGTTGAAGACACAAAGGTAGATTTCAATTATTTATGTTAAGGCCCTATTATTATTTAGTATGCACCCGACTATTGTCTATTACAAATCCTACATTCTGATTGGCTATTCAACCATTGTCTATTCGTGATGGTGCACGCTTGGGAAAATTTCGCTCGCGCGACCGTATAAAATTGAATTATTTTTCGGTGTAATTGCGTTGTATCGATTATTTTCTCGAAATTAATATATCTAGGTACAGGGTGTATACTAAAACAATTAGACAACTCGCTTTCGTTGTCTATGACCGAATAGTCAACTCGTGCTTCGCCTTCGTTGACTATTCGCTCATAGACAACTCGGACTCGTTGTCCAATTGTTAAATGGTGCAATATTTCTTGCAACTTGCAATGCAATTCTACCTTTGAGAGATGCATATTTGGAAACAATGAAACTTTTGTGTTTATTATTCTTCATGCACTTTTCTTTTCTTTCTTCTTCACTAATTTACATCTCTTAGTAGTAGAATTGCATTGCAAGTGCAAGAAAAATTGCACCATGTAACAGGGCCTTTAGTGTTCTTAGATTACAATATATGTGCTAAAAATTCATGCATGCAGCAACCCATCGCCTCGGTTAAACGAAATTAGTTAAGCATAGTGATAGTAACGTGAATGTTAAAAAATTTATGTGGGTTAGGGGTTTTGGAGGGTACATTGTATGTGAGAAAAAGAAATTGAGAAAAGTATGGAAATATTTTTCTGTGCGTGGAAGCATTGTAGTGATAGCCGTATTACTAGCTTTATAATAATTCCTGGAAGACTTGCTCCTAATGTTTTGGGCTAAAAAAGTGAAGCAAGAAACATGGTGGATTTTTTGTGCTAACGCCAGATGGTCCCTATGGGCAATGGTTTTTCAAACTGTCGTGCGATGGTGAAACGAGGATGAGAGTTAATAGAAGATGAGAATCGAGAGCTGACCAGATGTTACCGCGCGCGTAGCAGGGACCATTTAATAATAATACTAATACTATTTTGTATTAATGTTGTACTTTTTTGCTGAGCCTGCTACCGCTAGATGTTTTGCAACTCTCATGAACTCTCATGACCGATTTAACGCGCACGAACTCTCATCAACTCTCATCAAAATTTGAACCAGCTCACAGTCGATGACAGTTGATTAGAGTGCACGACAGTGCATGAGAGTTCGCAGTCAAACGCTGGCCAGAGAGTCAACTCCCATCAACTTTCATCAACTCTCATTCTCGTTTGACCAGGGCTTAAGCCCCGGGCTTAAGACCAGGGCTTAAGCCCCGGTCAAACGAGAATGAGAGTTGATGAGAGTTCTGGCGCGTTTGATCGGTCATGTCCCTGTAATGTCATTGAACAACTACCATTATATATACTTGCAATATAATGGTTAGTTGCTGAAATGACAAGTTGCTGTGTATGAGAATCAGTTCATGGTCATTGTGTCCAGAGGTCTTTTACTGGTTGATAATCTCATGCTATATATGTTAAAAACAATTAGAATCAATGCCATTCAGCCAAAACTTGGGGAGCTGATTCTGAATAGTGTATTCTCATTTGAGGAATTAACCCAAAATTTGAACAGGCCCAAGATTGCCAAACTGGCTGTTTAAAAAAAACAATTATATGTAGCCAATTGTCAATCTACCTTGACCTTTTGCCAGCTTTTAAAACGTAACTGACCAGTGTAGCAGTCATGAAGTTCACCTGTGATAAGTGAACCTGGAAAATCTTTGACAAAATGAAAAATCAAGTTATGAAGCATAAAAAACTGAGCAGATCTATAAGTTCAATGTTTCCCATTATTTAGTGACAAGATCACCAGATTTTGCATCTTTGCTAAAATAACATCACCACTAAGAGAGTTAACAAAGAAAAACGTAGCTTTTAACTGGACATTAGAGAGCTTTAGCAGTACTGCAAGTACGACTACGAGTACGAAATCTGTCATTCTCGCGCGTTGTTTGCTTACGCGATCAGCCAAAACTCGTAGTCGCCAAGCTTTTGAGTACGAAAATTTCCGAAAAACTCGTACTCAAAAGCCCGGTGACTACGAGTTTTGGCTGATGGTGTAAGCAAACAACGCGTGGGAATGACGAATCTCGTACTCGTAGTCGTACTCGTAGTCACTGCTAAAGCTCCCTATTGAAGTACCAGAAAGCATTCGAACAGCTTAAAAAACAATTAGCGAGTACACCAGTAATGACGTATTATGATACAAAGAAACGAAGTATTGTTATACTGGGTGTCCCAGAAAAAAGTACTCCGGTTTGATTCAAAATAGCTTCTAAACTAGCTGAGCTATTAAACTGAAATAACTTTCACTAGATAGAGGGAAGACTAACTTAGATTTTGATATATTACAGTTGTATTTTACTTTAAAATTTACGGAGATATCAATGTTCAAAATTGGTAGCATATTTCTGGATGTGTCTAAATTATGCAAAAAACGCCGTATCAAATGTTAATCAATATAATTTAGACACATCCAGAAATATGCTACCAATTTTGAACATTGATATCTCCGTAAATTTTAAAGTAAAATACAACTGTAATCAGTAGCGTAGCCAGCCTGTCGATTTGTCCCGCTATGCTAATATTTTTGTGTTTACTGACTGTGAAAACAATAAATTTGTAAAGAAATGAATAATTATAATAACCCGAAATTTACATAGCGGGACAAAATCGTCAGGCTGGCTACGCCACTGACTGTAATATATCAAAATCTAAGTTAGTCTTCCCTCTATCTAGTGAAAGTTATGTCAGTTTAATAGCTTAGCTAGTTTAGAAGCTATTAATAATCAAACCGGAGTACTTTTTTCTGGGACACCCGGTAGTGGATGGCTCACCACATGGAATAAGTGCAATATTAGCCAAAAAGAAAAGAACAGTCAGCATTACAAAATAATCTCGTATGCAAGCAGAGCTCAGCGGAGAAACGGTACTCACGAACTGACATAGAAGTACTTAGCTTAGTTTGGGGTATCGAACATTTTAACGGACCATAAAGCATTAGAATCAATATTCAACAATGCAAGATCAAAACCCCCAGCACGGATCGGAAGGTGGATGATGCGTTTACAACCATTTACCTTTAGAGTAATTTATCGCAAAGGTTCGCTGAATAAAGCCGATTATTTGAGCCGACACCAGACTACTTTAGCCGAAAACTGTGTGAATTTCATAACAAACCGATCAGTGCCTAACGCCTGTATTCTAAAAGCTCACTCACACTCAAACTCATTGAGTGGGAGATCTTAATCTTCTCATAAAGTTTCAATGGCGGTATTTCCAGCCGAACAGGGGCTTGATTTTCAGTGATTTACCTTATATCTTTCCATCTATGCAGAAAAAACTTTCTCATTGGTCAGCATTAACGAAATTTATATGTCACACTCGATGAGTATGAGTGTGAGTGAGCTTTTTGAATACAGGCGTAAGTCAATGACACTAGAAGAAATTAAAGAGGCAACAACAGCAGACCCATTACTAAGAAAAGTAAAGCAAAGTCTAAAAGAAGGAAAATAGGACGAGAAAGACGATGAACTGAAACCATTTAGGCTGTACGCAGATGAATTAACTCACAATTCATCAGAGGATATACTGCTGAAGAACACAAGGAATTGTTATTCCTTTTAAGTTACAAAATAAGGCTACTCGACTAGGTCACGTTGGTCATCAGGGGCCGGTTGTATGAAAGCCGGATAGCGCTATTCACCGGATAGTGTTTTTTTCAATCGCTTTAAAATCGCTCGTTATTTGCCACAACTTTGATTAAATCTTAGTATTCTTAAATCGAGGATCCTCTTTAATAATTGTTAATAATTGATAATAAATTTTATCGCTTTTCGAGCATTTTTAGAACGGTTGAAAAAATCACTATGCGGTGGATAGCGCTATCCGGCTTTCATACAACCGGCCCCAGGGAATCAAAAAAACAAAAAGGTTGCTGCGAGAAATGATATGGTATAAAATATGGATCGCAACGTGAAAGAAATAATAGACAAATGTATTGCCCGTCAAGCGGTTGGAAATAGCAAAAAGCCCGAACCAATGAAGATTACACTCACAGAAGATAGACCATGGACAACAGTGGCAATTGACTACTGTGGCCCAATACCCAGAACAGGACAATATTTACTGGTAGTAATTGATACCCAAATTCCCCGACGTGGAAATAGTTAATTCGACCGAAGCGAAAACTTGTATACCCAAGTTAGATAAAATTTTCGCCGCTCATGGAATCCCAAAGAAACTAAAATCTGACAACGGCCCACCATTTAAAGGTAAAGATTTCGGAAACTATACTAAAGCGTTAGGTATAGAATGGACAACCTGTACACCGTTGTGGCCTCAAGGAAACGCGGTTGTGGAGAGATTTATGTAACCAATTGAAAAGCTTCTAAAAACAACTGAAGTCGAACTGGAGACAAGAGTTACAACGGTTTCTGTTGCAGTATCGCTCAACTCCTCATCAGTCCACAGGAATTGCACCGTGCAAATTGCTTTTCAATAGACCAATCAGGCAGTGGCGTAGCCAGCCTGACAATTTAGTCATGCTATGCTAATATTTTGGTGTTCATTGACTGTGAAAACAATGAATTTCTAAAGAAATGAATAATGGTAATAACAGAAAATTTGCATTGCATGACTAAATCGTCAGGCTGGCTACGCCACTGCAATCAGGTGATATTTACCTGAAATGCCTAATAGGAACGTAGTTAACAAACATGCATGCAGTAGCGAAGAGAAATTTGGAAAAGAAGAAACAAGAAAAAAAAAGAACACTATGATAGGAAAAAAAGAGTGAAAGAGTCATGCATCAAGCAAGGTGACACAGTCATATGCAAGCAAGAAAAGAAACACAAGTTAACACCGACGTTTGATCCACTACATTATACAGTGAAAGAGCGAGAGCACAACACCATAGTTGCAAAACAGGGGAATTACCAATTACCAGGAACGTGTCATATTTCAAGAAAGTTATAACGGATGACAGCGATGACCAATGGAACGACAAAACGAAGTTAATCAAGAAGAAGGGGAACCAAGGAAAGAACAGCAGGAGTTACGAAAGTCATTAAGAACTAGAAAACCGGCAGCAAAAATTTATTTTGGGATCACTTTTGATGGGAGCTTTGTAACCGTGCCTGTTTGAGTTATTTTCTACATTGAGCACTATAAATACACCTAAACTACGCTATGCTTCAGCGCTTCAGCAACGTCTTGTTAGTCGAGAGGTCGTACTGCGTGCGAAATATCCCGGTTCAAATCTTGGTAAAGCACCATTATTTTACTTCATTTTTCCTTTTTTTTTAATTTTTTTTTAAATTGAACGTCTACAATACCATTTGGTTAGTTTCAGGGTTTATGTGTGGGACAGGTTTTTATTTTTTATTTGTTTCAGAATTTAAGCACTATATTTAAACTCCGAACGCAGAATTTAAGCTCCCAGCGAAATTGATCCCAAAATAAATTTGTGCAAACCGGCAGAACGTTTCCAGCCTGGTTTTATGTCAATAGAAACATTTAACAAAACAACGAACTTGAACTCGAATAAGGACTTTTATCAATAGCCTTCATATTGTTATTGTTGACATTCTGTTTGTTTAAAGAAAACGGAGAATGATGTAGTATATAGAAATCAGGAGATAACGACGTCATATGTAAATATGTAATTTGAAAAATATAACGAGTTTTCCTATTACACCCCTCCAATTTATGTTTGTCAAGGCGTTTAGTCGATTCGTCGTATCGTTTTTCAGGTCCTGTTTGATGGTATTCCTTTGGAGAAAATATCTGTTTCTATGACAATGAACGGCGCTGTACTACCAGTATTAGCTATGTATATCGTGGCTGCTGAGGAACAGGTCAGTGGTCGATCCCTAAATCGTTTAAAGGTATATCAAAACTTCAGGACCACGTAACTGTTTTGGATTTACATCAGATTTTACAAAAAAATTAGGGAGTGGAGCAAAGTCAGTTGACGGGTACGATCCAGAATGACATTTTGAAGGAGTTTATGGTCAGAAATACTTACATCTTTCCACCTGAGTCTTCGATGAAAATAATTGGAGATATATTTAAGTACACGTCGAAGGTACAATTGCCGTTACGTGTTGAACCTTCCTTATTCTCCGATCAAATTTCACTAATAACAACTGTTATTTTAAGAATATGCCTAAGTTCAACAGTATTTCCATTTCTGGTTATCATATGCAAGAAGCCGGGGCGGATGCTGTTCTAGAGATGGCCTTTACTGTTGCTGATGGATTGGAATATTGTCGGACAGGTATTGTGCAATTTGCATTTTAAATGTTTACAAATGAAAATGAATGATATGGGTATCACATCCTTGATCTATGCATTTGGCGCGAAATATACTAGTATTTGAAAAGTGCATGCATGTGACCGTATTTATCTACGTCACAGTTTTGTGCACAGCTCGAAATCTTTGGCCAATTTTCCGATGCGCGATTTGATTTCGCTCGAATGATACCGCAATTCCTCCAAGAGGAACAAATCAGCAGTTTTTTTGATGCTGTTTGATTAAGGTTAGATTTATTTGGGGTAAGAATATATTTAATACAAGTAGATTCTGGTCCTATTTTAATAATACCGCTGCTATTTCGCCATTGATAATGATATCATGATGGTGAACAACATATGGTCGTGTACGGGTGCGTTGACACGTCGCAGTTTGCACAGGATTGAAGATTTAATATAAGCGCGAATTCCAAAGTCTAAGACAAAGTAAACATCATGCGGTTTTTTTACATTTTTGAACAATTGAACTTCTATACTTTTTACAGTACGATGTGCTTTTGAATGTCGCGATCGAACAACATTTAGGTTCGCAAGGCACCTAAATGAGTATGAACTGTATTGTTTATGGTCAGTGTTATGGTCAGTGTAGAAGACTGGCACGTGCACGGCACACCGGAGTGAACGCCAGAACAGGCGTCTTGTTTAATTTGCAATGACAGGATGCACAGTATACGATTTACTTATGATTACGGCAGATTGCTGTATTGTCAGAAGACATGTTGTTGGAAAGTTGTTTGTCCTCCTTGCTTGCTTTTTTCGGGGGCTTTTTAAGGAATTTTGAGTGGGGACATTGGCAAAAAAGGACCTCCTGCATGGCGCAATAAGGTAGAAATGTTAATCGTGGCCGAACGGGGTACGCGCGGAAAATTTGAAATTATTTGTCAAGTACGTGTGAAACTCACCTTTACGCACCGTTTCATATTGGGTTTCATATGGCGTCCCCTATACTATAAAAGAACATACTTTTATTTTTATTTTTTATTTCCTAAAGGGATTAAAGCTGGTCTTGACATTGATAAATTTGCTCCACGTCTATCGTTTTTCTGGGGGATTGGTATGAACTTTTACATGGAGATCGCTAAACTAAGAGCAGCAAGAAAACTCTGGGCACACCTTATCAAAAAACACTTTGATGCTAGGAATCCCAAGTCTTATTTATTGCGATGTCATTGTCAAACGTCAGGATGGTCTCTCACGGAACAAGTACGCACCACGTTTGATGTATTTTACGGTTGTCACAATGCACCTCTATCCAACTTATCTGAGTATAAAAATCAACCAATCATATAAGTAAGATCCTCGACAAAACTGAATTATCATTTCCTTAATTTAATATGACTTCGGCACTTTATATTTCGGCATTTTATATTTTTATGCTGAAACACGTTTGCTTTTCCTTAGCCGTAAATTAGAACTTAAAGTCTTAGAATTTTCGCCCTTTATACTCTTGTTGAAGGAACGGTATTACCTCAGGCGCGTCCTATCTCAGTTTTGACGAGATGCCCCCTGACGTCATGATATCAGATATAAGCTATGGTTATAAACCACCAAAAATCGTACGTTGTTCAAATATAATCATGTTCAAATATAAGCAGCGATGCCGATCGACTTGTATAATTATAATGAAAACACTGCCAAAATCCACAATTAAACTTGACTTAACTTTTAAAACTCACAACAGCGAAAGAAGAAATGCATTACAATTAGGTTTGGCTTTTAGTGCACTCTACAACCTTGCGAGACGAAATTGTAACATGGTATTTACGATCACTCACGTACAATCCCCAGTGCAAGAGTGTCGAGTGTCCGGGGAAGCCCTCCATGGGTATATTTCGAGAAAAACACACTTGTGACCACAAATTATAACAAAATCCCCTATTATTCCGATTATGCCGATTATTCCGCTCCTTCGCTCACGCTGCAGTAAAAATACATTTCTATAGGGTTTCTGGACGCAATCCATATACGTAGTAATTGGAAATTTTAAATTAAAGATGTCTCGGGCACAAGTGATAAAAATAATAAACAAAACGTGCGTATTAATAGATTAAAAATGAGGTAAAACAATCACGAAAATTAAAAAAAAAATTAAAACCCTGCATGGAGCATTGCTCACTTGATAAACACTGTCAACGTTTCTGACTATATAATTATTTGTTAGCAGTCACCTTGTAGTAGTTATTGAAATTTTTAAAATGCATAGTTTCAATAGTGCGATGTTTATTCTTGCGCTAGAAATCTGGTTGTATAAAGACACACAGTGAATTAACTGCGCTTTTCACCAACGTTTTGAGCCTTTTCAATGCTATATATACCAGAATTCTTTAATGCATTTCATTTAGGAAGTATTTTTATTGTTATCCCTGTTTGTTGTTGTTATATAAGGTTTCTTTTAGTTATTGCGTTTTATCGTGACAGGTTCCATACAATAATGTTGTGCGCACAACAGTGGAAGCAATGGCAGCTGTCTTTGGTGGTACACAATCTCTTCATACCAACTCATTTGACGAAGCTCTGGCGCTACCTACACCATTCAGTGCTGGAATTGCACGGAACACCCAACTTATTTTGCAAGAGGAAACTGGCATTCCAAATGTGAGTTTTCAGGGTGCATGTTTAAGGCGATATTTAACAATCAAGCAAGATTCTATATAACTGTTGGAAGCCATCGCAAAGTTATATAGTAAGCTTCCTAAAGAGTCACTTATATTCTTATTTTGTTAACTTTAGAGTTTAGTTCAGGCCCTGTTACACGATGCAATTTTTTTGCAACTTCCAATACAACTCTACTCTTGAGAAATGTAAAATGCCAAAGTACGTGTTTTGCGTTGATATTTTTCCGATCCATATGGCATATCTTCATTGACTTTACTGATTACAAGCAGAATTCCAAGTTGCAAGAAAAATTTCACCTTAACACGCCCTTTGTTAAATTAGTTGCGACGTGATCGTGTGACACATATTTCACAAATTTCAACGCTTTTGTAATATTTTTTTAACAATTGTACAGTTTTGCCAATCCTGTTCTTATATGATATTTGGTTCAATTTGTTTTTAATGCCCGCAGCAATCCCTACCTTGCAGGTAACCTAGTCTAATCCTATTTTGCATTCCCACAGGGCAAGCGCTTATTCTTTGCTTATTAGCACTTACTCTCATAATGTTATTTTCTTTGAAAATTAATGATCCTGAGTGTAGCCAGGTAAATAAACGAGGTTGAACTGAAAAGTCATATCTTGCTTTCTATTCCTTTTTTTATCCCACTTCAGGTTATTGATCCATGGGCTGGTTCGTATCTTATGGAATGCTTGACTAATGACCTCTATGACGCTGCCGAAAAAATCATAGAGGAGGTTGGTAGGAACGAGTATTTCAACGTAACGTTTTCTTAGCTGGTCAAAGGTCTTGGTTGTGTGAGATCGTATGGTTTTTATTCAAGGTTGAGGATCTTGGAGGAATGGCAAAGGCTGTTGCAGAAGGAATGCCGAAGTTGAGGATTGAAGAATGCGCTGCTCGGCGACAAGCTCGGATTGACTCGGGAAGCGGTAAGATTCTTGCTTATTTCAAGGGTAAGACAATTCGGCGAATTTTTTAATTACTAGCATATCGGTAAAAATCATCATTATAATTTTATAACTTATGCTTTGTCGGGTTTTGTTGTCAATTGTCTTATACTGAACATTTATGCTAATTATTATATGTATATGATCTTGTTCCATAGAAACGATTGTTGGAGTCAATAAGTATAAACCAGAGGCAGAGGAAAAGATTGACGTTCTGGTAATTGACAATACGAAAGTTCGTGAAAGCCAGGTAACAAAGCCAAGAACACAAACATTGACGCAAACACAATCCGCAAAATAACATTCTCATGTCAAGCTCATGATTGATAATGATTTACATTGTGAATAATAATCACTAAGTGAATGATATAGTTGCAGAAAAATATAATTATTTATGTTTAATTATTTTTAAGACACACCTTATATGGAGCTAGAACCGCGGCAACTTTTTGAGTTTATTTTTTCAAACAGTGCATGACATCATTACACTTTGCATTGTTCTTTCCCTCACTTGTCCCGCTGTGTCATTGTCAAATGTTTTGTGTTTGATGTTTGTTATTAATTATTATTAGTGCTCTTTTTACTCGAGCTATAAAGCGAGAGTTAAAAACTTATCCTCCCACGCGGCCAATCTTCATTTTGGCCAAGCGAAATAAATGTGGTCGCATGTGACATATTTGTGAACATCTTATTGGCGTTCAGCGGCTCATTCAACTTCCTGTTTCTTCGTGCAAACTTGAGCGGCTCATTCGACTTCCAGCTTAACATTAGCTGAGGGTGAGGTCTGTTTTTTGACATACGACACCTTACGTTAACAAAAAGCGTAGTAATAGTGCATTTTATTATGCGTACCCAAGTATTTCTGAATGTACGCTTTCTAAGCGTACTCGATCAAAACTAAACGACACTTCATGCATATTCTGTGTCGTCGATCGAAGCTACACGAACTATTCTGCGCGATCAAAATTAAATCTGTACGCATATTCCGTAAACTGGATCGAAACTAAAAGACTGCGCGCCTATATTATATTTCAAAATAGTATATATTATGTTGCTAAAATGGGTGAGCAATCGACGATTCAAAGACTCCCCATTCCTTTTTTAAAGACAGCCCGCGTTTTAAGTTAACTGCGATGTTTTTGCAGTGCCTGCTAATCTTCTGCTTTTATTTTTAAACTTCTGCGCTAAAAGCAGCTCCTTTAGTTCGGGTAGGTGCTTAGCAAGCGTCTTGTCTGTTTTTGTTTTCGGTTTTTTTTTGATTTTCTTTTGGGAAATTGATTTAATTTTTACACCCGTATCAGGTTCCTGAAAAATACATAAATCAGGGTATTGAAAAGGGTATTGTTGCTCTTTATACAAATCATTTAATAGATGCTTGAATAATAGCACATTGCACCTTGGCATTTCCTACAGATTGCAAAGATTGCAGACGTAAAAGCAAACCGTGATAAAAATGCTGTAAGTATATATGAAGTTTTTTGGTAAACTAACCTAATGGTAGATGAGGTGCCCTGGCTTAATTTTTTGGATAGAGAAGGTGTCAGATACTTTTGATAATTTACATTTCCGCTTCTAACATCCAGAATTCAACGACTCGGTCTTGTTTATATTATGATAAACGTAAAAACCCTGTAAAAGCGGAACCCGAATTAATTGTTTAAAACTTAACAAAGCTAGCGAATACATAATTCGGGCTCCACCTTTACTGGGACACCCTGTATAATATTATATCACGGTTATGTTGATGAGAATTATCCCGTCAATTGAGATCGCGAAGTGCGAATAGAAGCACTACGCATTCACATTCAAGGATATAGGGAGGCTCGCAGCGATAAATACAATAATATCATATATTATATGTGTATAGAGATTTATGCACAGCAGAATGATGAAATAAAAATCGTATTTCACTGTGCAAATTAATTTCATGCAATTTGATTGGACGTACGATATTTTTCACGTGTGAAAAAATGCCATACACGGCTTTTGATTGGACGTACGATATTCTTCACACACGTGAAAAATTGTCATATGTCATTTTGACGGCAATTTGTTTACATTTTCTTTCAAGATGGAGTCGAGATATAAAAGTGAGATTCAAAACATAATTCTCATATTCAAGATATTTTTACATTCAGCACATTCTCAAATCTTTCGGAAAGAATGTCTAACTTCTATTAAACAAAATTACAAAGAAATTGAACGGTAATAAATATGCTTTCATGCATAAAGTTTCGATTTTGTTGCTCGCGGTGTTTTTGTATGTTAAAAGCGTGTCGGTGTCAAATTGATCTCTATACACATTTAATAAACAAATTACTTCATGGTTAGCTCGTTTGTACGATTTTTATTATGCACTCGTTGCGAAGGATCGCAAACTCACTCGTTCGCTGCGCTCACTCGTTCGTATTGCGATCCTTCACAACTCGTGCGTAAAAATCGTACGCACTCGCCAACCATGAAGTAATCTCTATATAGGCAGCCCAGCCGATGCTACGTCGTACTATGACGTAGCCGCATTGACTGTGATATATTTCAGTAATCGAGGTGAAATCATACTGCAAAGAAGTAACCCCCACTAACGTCCTAATAATTGCTGCACTAAATTATGATAGGGCTATTACTGTGATTGTGATAAGCATATATAGCAACATGCCTGTTGTTGCTTTTGCGGTAATAAGTTCAATTATTATTGTTTTGCAGGCAGAAGAAGCAATGGCGGCGATCACTGAGTGTTGTCAAACTGAGAAAGGAAACCTCCTAGATCTTGCTGTCAAGGTTTTTTATTGATAATATTTGTTCAGTGGGTATCATCGACTTCGCCCCAGATATTTTTTTTCATTATGTTTAACGCCTGTAGTCAGGGGGTAAAGCGACGATAATAATGCATGATGGAAGTTTTAAAAATTGTAATTCAGTCAGTTCACATGCAACTCGATATGATACTCTTTCCTGTATGTAAAAATTGTATACCACAACCTATTGCCTTCTCGACCGCATACCAGCTGGCATAGGGAAAAAAAATTAGCGCATGGGAAATACACTTTCAAAAAAACTAGGGAGACATCGATGAGTGATACATGAAGTCATCTTTGTTCCCAGGGTGTGACGCTTATCTTTTAGTTGTGCTCAGAGCGAAGTTTGGACCAGACAACACACTTAACTCTCACAGGCTTTCTAATTTTAATATAGGCTGCAAGAGTTAGATGCACTGTGGGAGAAATAACGTTTGCGATGGAAAAGGTCTGAATTTTTTTTCTAATGTAGTCTAATTATATAATAATTGTATAATATAAACAAAGTGATTAGGTGTTCTACTGAAAAAATTTACAAGGTATTTGGAAGACATGTTGCCAGTGATCGCATGGTCAGTGGTGCCTACAAGTCCGAGTATGGGAATTCTGATGAAATCACTCAGTGTTTGAATGAGGTCGCGGTGAGTTACAGACATCACATATAATATTGCTATAGACCTGGATGATGGAGATCGAAAAACATTAAATTCGAAACACTCTGATTCGGAACAGATATAAGTTGTATCTTGTCCATATTTGATTCACGACAATTGACGTGATTAAAAGCACATATATAATTAGCATATAACACGTATACATAAGTATCAAAATGTACCCTTTCCCGATTCAACGACATGCATGTATTTGCGTCATCACCTGAACCGCTTGAACGTAACCGACGGTGATATCAAAAATTATCACTGTGAATTCATAACTATTGAAGTTAAATCAATCTATTATGAACTTTCCATGCTGTGGAAGTAAGCTGATCCCTTCAATTAACATTGTTTTGCTAATTGCTGCCTACGCTATAAATCTTACAGCTAGGCTTTTTATTCTTCGTGAGGAAGAAATTTTGTTGGCTAAGGAGCAACACAAGATCTGTTCGATATTGATATCATACGTTTGGACCCTGCCTTTAATTTAATCATGTGTAAAGTATTTTTCTTCCTGAATTTGTTAAACTTTAAGGCCGGATTCCGTGGGCGAAATTTTTCAGCGAATCGCGAATTGTGAACAATCAAGTAGAAATGTTTCTAGCGGTTGCAATTCCAAAGAAAAACGCGCCTGTGGAATCATACCTTTAGTTTTATTCGATTTAAAGTCGCAAGAAAACGAACATGTTAAACTCTGGCATATGTGTGAACATGTAAATTCAAAATCAACATCATTCCCGAGTAACCGTTCTATTCGCTTTGTACTGTATGTACAATACCTATAGATACGTAAATTAATTTTTAATGGTACTTCTCCTTTTATAGAAATTTGTTGATGCGGAAGGACGACGCCCTCGGATTCTTGTTGCTAAAATGGGGCAAGATGGGCATGATAGAGGAGCTAAAGTTATTGCAACAGGATTTGCGGATTTGGGATTTGATGTCGACATTGGGCCTCTTTTTCAGGTATAATATTAGTATTTAGGTAGTATACGTAGTTAGTTATTTATAGGCAACTTCACAATACGTAGTTATTTATTAAAGCAACACGTAGTCATTTATTTATTGGCAACTTTGCCTTTGACTTGAGTCATCAGTATAGTTTGACAGATTATTCATGACGCAGTGAAAAATCATATGGCCGTAGAAGAAGCAATTCGCCTTAATAAAGCAAACAACATTTACTTACCTACTCGTTCACAGCTATTAAAGGACGAAAAACGTACTTAAAATTGCATCAACATTCGCTCGTGTAAACTGAACTGGACAAGCCTTCATTCATGCATGCTATAGGTGTTTGATATCTTCATGCCTAAGTTGGCATATATACCGCTCATGCTCATATTTTTTTAAATGGCAGCTGACTGTTATAGCTTCTCCAAAAAAGCTAGGAAGTATAAAATTAAGTCTATAAGGAGGAAGTGTAAAATTAAGTATATCCCCCAAATAATAGTAAAATATAATAGCTAAATCTCCTCCCTTCATTTTAACTGTAAATTATCATGATTTGAGAAGTGATCTGACCTGTATGCTGCATCATGTAAAAGTCAAGATGAATATTATACTGTGACAGTGGTATTTTTCGTATCCATAATGATTTTGTAGACTCCAGATGAAGTTGCCCAACAGGCTTGTGATGCAGACGTACACGTAGTTGGAATAAGTACACAGGCTGCTGGACATAAAACCCTTGTACCGCAATTAGTGGAAGCTTTGAAAGCGAAGGACAAAAGGTGTGTCTAATACAACTGAACGATTAGCCAAAAGTCCCTTATCTTGAAGCAGTGTTTCCATTTCTAAGGAAATTCCCTTAGAAAAGTGCTCCATTATGAGGGCAATTGTTTCTCCCTGTTTACCACCAATCCCAGCGCTGTGCGAGAAATGCTATATGCAAGTGAATTACGGAAGCCCAGCCTTGAAGTATAATAAATATGAGCTGATATGAGTGTCAAATATGACCATGCAGCGACATCGCTGTGGTATAACGACATTACACCAAAATATGGACATTTCATTTGAATTGTTATAAAGTTTGAAGTGCAGACTGTGCAGTACTATTTAGCTATTACAAGGTATTTAACCCTTCAAAACATCCTTATGGAGTTTCTCTCTGTTAGGGAAAGATTGCTTTCGAACTGCGACTCGCTGAAGGGAAAGAGTGAAAATGTAGCAAGGGCACCAATCCCTACACATTGTGTGTTCCATTTTTAATGCGAGTCTTCAATGACTTGACTTGCGTGAATCACTAGTCGAATGTTAAATTATATTGTTTCAGCTGAAAATTTGTACTTATCGCATCAATATTTCCAATGACTTGACTTGCGTGAATCACTAGTCGAATGTTAAATTATATTGTTTCAGCTGAAAATTTGTACTTATAGCATCAATATTTGCTTGTTTCCAGCAATATTCTCGTGGTTTGTGGTGGAGTCATTCCCCCGCAGGATTACGAATTTCTCTTTGAAAAAGGCATTGCCGCTGTTTTTGGTCCGGGTATGTGTTCACCATTGATATTTATAAAATCGTTTTGGTGTCCGAAATATACAGGGTCAGTAAAAAAACTGACATCTTTGAAATTCAAATTAGCGCATAGCAGCTGTAATGTGACAGAAGTTGCCTAAAATATCTCATTGGTATACAAAGCATATCATATTAATTAACCTAAAACATAATATTTGTTCCCTTTGGGAGTTAAAAAGCATTCTAAGCTCTGTAAATACAAAAGAACAGTTTTATCAAATCGTTTTTGTTAATTGTACACATGGGAATTGTCATATTCCAGCCATAAGTTCGCGGCTAATTTGAATTTCAAAGGTGTCAGGTGTCTCAAAAAAACCGAAAACTATTGAAATCACTCATTGTTAAAATTTGAATGCCGTGTTCACGAATTTCAGCCCGTGGGGATTTAACGCAACTTATGAAATGTCGAAGGTCATGGTTCTTGAGATACACATTTAAATATTGTTACCCATATTTGTAAATTGTAAATATTGTTAGTAAATATCATTTTTGCGAACAAGCAAATTTTGGAATGACTTTGGTATAAATTTTGGTAAATATGGTAAACATTTATACACCTGTGGGTCCCAACAGAGTGCTTAGGCATTCAAACTCTAACAATTGCATTGTTATGGGTGATTTCAATAGTTTTCGTTTTTTTTGAGACACCCTGTATAGGAAATCATCCATGACAATGCAATAGTTAAAGTTTGAATGCCTAAGCACCCTGTTGCCAAGCATATTTTTATGCATGATCACGGTAAAATTTGCTTGTACCCACGTATTATTTTCACACTTCATACATATGAATAGCAAATGAATGTTTAAATTTACAACTCAAGCATCATCGTCTTCGACAAGTCCCTCTTTAATTTAGCATTTTATAGGTTGCGTTAATCCCCACAGGCAAAAATTCGGTAATTTCAATAGTTTTGGTTTTTTTGGGACACCCTATCTTTTCTCGATGATTTAAGGTGGATCCCTACAGTTTCTTGAAATTTTTAGATGCACGTTTTAAACATGCTAAGAATCTAATTGTTTGACTAGAAGACTAAAATTTTATATACTTATCAGGCAACATATCTAAAGCCGAAATCTATTCAGAACCATTGCTGACAACTTGTGCTTGGCAGGCGTTGCCGTAGCAACGGAGCGTTTTCAAAATGGCTGCCAAATAGATGTAAATCGAGTTTATATCGCAAATAAGTTCGGTGACCGCCAATTGTTTTTCATTAACTAGACAGAATTTTTTTAAAAATTCACTCTCGATAACGCATCTATAGTGTAAAATTTTGATTAAAAAAATGGGAATTTTGATTAAAATCAAATGTGGTATAATTAACAACTGCCTAAAATAGACAAAACACATCTCAACGTTTCGACCTGATCAGGCTTCCCTCATGGCTATTCTTAGCCCACAATCAGGCGTCTCTGTAACAATGTAATGTATTCCAATTTGTTTTGATTTTTTGTCTTCTATTGGCCCATTTTTATCACGTGTTTTGTCCCCATAAAAAACATGTATTCTCCCCTATTTATTTTCATACTAACTCTCCTGACGAAGGCCCTTCGGTTGAAACGTCGAGAATTGTTTTGTCTATTTTAGGCAGTTTTTATACCACATTTGATGCTAAGTTGTTTGAAGACGCTGCCACACTGCTCCCTGGTTATATTGGAACTTATCCAATACTAAAATTTGCGTGGCAATAGTTATCTCCAAGGACCAAAGTAATTCAACTAATGCGATTTTAGGTACAAGAATCCCGCAAGCAGCAATGCAAGTTTTAAAAGCAATCTCTCCCGATGAACAAAGTAGACAAACGATGGCATAGAACATTCTGGCCCGAATTCCAGAATAAAAAAACGTTAACATTGAACTTCATGTGTTGTATAGAGTGCTAATTATATGATACGCGTGTTTTTTTCTCACGAAACTAGTGATATGGTTACTAGGAAGGCCTGTGCCGGTTTCTTAATTAAGGTGGTCTTATACATTGAGATATTTTTAAGAAGGTGCATAATAAAGACGGTAAGGTATAAGATCCCCTTTAAACATCAAAATTTGTTATTTTTTGTACTACTGATCAAATATACCTCTCAACTATAACTTGTCCAACCACTGAATTTGTTTTATACCACATGACAATGGAATTTTTCAGCGATACTATGACCCGGACAGCTTGTACCCTCGATGGTTTCCCCGCGGCTTTGGCGATTTTGCGTGGAGTTCTCACGAGGTACAAATACTTTAGTATTTTTTCAGTTTTTTCGTAAAAATACTCATTAATTTCAGTGTCACACATTATATTCACACTTTTTATTTCTCATTTTACTCATTATTAGTCCGCGTTGCTATATATGGCTTCCTCGCAGAAAGTCTTGAAAGGAAACATGTTTTTGACGGGTTTTTACGAATTTGTTTTTACACGTCCTAGGCCAACAAGGAGAAATTTCGTTTTTGAACAAATTCGCATATTTGTTTACATTTTTAAATCCTAAATTTTGAGTGGCGAATGATGTAACTTTTTACCGGAAGTAGTCAAAATTTGTGCATTCTGATTGGCTTACTGAAAATGTAAACAAATATGCTGATTGTTCTAAAACGAAATTCCTCCTCGTATATCCTAGATCTATGTAGTTAAACGTAAGATAACTTCGTTTTAGTGCAAAGTTTAGAAGAAAAAGATTAAGGATTTTTGAATAATTTCTACTTGTCTTAATTAGCAATTCTTTGGCCCTTTTGCCAAGTTCATACAAAAAGAATCGAGGAACTACTACGGAACCCGATTGACCTTGCACGCGCGCAATTTAAATCAATTTAAATTTACGACATTGCTGCTCTGCCGTAATGGTTTTGTTTAAACGGATTAACCCCCCCCCGGAACACCCGTTTCTTGGTCAGTCAAGGGGGGTAAACTTTATTTGTGTTTATAGCGATTTTTTTGCATGGTTAATGGTAGATTAAGAGTTTTTTAATCATTTTTACTTGTCTTATTTGACAATTCTTTGTTTGCCAAGTTCATTCAAAAAGAATCGAGGAAGTATGTCGCTTTTGTGAATTTTACGACATTGCTGCTCTGTGAAAATGGTTTTGTTTAAACGGAATTTACCCTCGGAACACCCAATTTTTTCTCGAATGCGCATGTGCAATCGGGACAAAATCTTCAACAGGAACGCAGTAAAGATTAACTATAGCTGTATGCCAAATGTCAAAATTATCATTTCCGACCACAAGTCCTCTCAAAAAAGGTACCAACGATTTCCAAGACAACGTACTAACCACAAACGACAACGTGCAACTGCCGGAAAAAAGGACGCTATTACGCAAATGCTTGATCAGCAATGTGGTGTATGAGGCAACAGTAACTATGACAGTTAACGGCGAGATGAAACGGTACATTGGAATGACATCAACGACGGAAGGATAGGCGGACGAACGGACAAAAATAATAAAATGGGGATTGCGGACAAAAATAATAAAATGCGGATAAGACATTTCTCCCCCTCCCTACGATTTAACAACCGTTTCAAGAATGCCTAGGAGCTTTCGTCTTCCCTCTGGCGAAATTAGAAATAGAAGAAGGAAATGTTTATTTCCATGTAAACAAGAACTGTGTTTGTCTAAAACAGCCGTATTTTGCTTCGAATATGTTGTCGACACCATTATGGGTCATTCCACTGTTGATTCAAGAACATATCATATTTCTACGTCAATTTGTTAATCAAGTGTGTAGTTTCAACTGCATATATTGAGTTTATGTAAAGAAGAACTGTTTTGGTTTAAAACAGTCTTCACTGTTAATTAGATAACATATATTCCTACGTCAAGTGTAAAGTTTCAAGAGAGTTTATATGTCTCTTTAACATAATATTGACATAATATTTAGTTCCAGTTTATGGTGGTCAGTAGGTTCCCCCCACTGAGCTATATAATATTTCCTGGAGGACCGGCTGGTCATTTTCCGGTAACTTCGCCGCAATTTTTGTCGCCAAAAACATGGCGGACTTCGCCCTTCTGCGCAACCGCAGAAGCTCTGCTGACGCCACATGGTCCTTTTGCCCATGGTAGTTACCACTGACCGGGCTCAATTGTGAGCCCGCTACAGCAGCATTCCCCCTTCTGGATTTAGTAAACAACAGGTTCTCCCCCCTGGTTTTTATGAATTTTTTTGCCGTGAAATTTTTTTGTTTGTTTTTTTTTGATGTATTTTTCGGCCTAGCCTGCAATAAAGTGTTTCTTTTGAAGATAAATGCAAGTCGTAGACGCTGTTTTTGGCAATGCGAGTACAAATATATATTAAAACGTCAAAAAATGTGGACAAAACTAAAGATTTTCATACTGACAATAACTGACAGGTTTATTTTTTATTTTTTTTAATCATATTTTTATGCATTCCTATAGAAAATTTAACAAATTCTTGAACTTTTTGGCACTTTTGTCGGATATTTTGAGGACAACTGGATTTTTATGGACATCAATTAGGCTTTTCTGAACCCTGAACTGCAGAAATATTACCAAAAGTATCAAGTATGCAATTATTAATGATGTTCTCTTGAATGTCTGCAGGACTTTATATCTATGCTGACTAATCTTGCTAACTATGCATAGTCCAAGCAACTGAGGCCAAAGCTGAGGCAAGATGCTGGGCAGCTGACTAATGCTAAGTGCAGCTGTACCTCTCTGGCTCCATAGACCCATTATTCCTAGCTGATTAGACTAATAATTAAACATAGCCCCTTGGAAATTGATACTTTAAACAGAAAATTATAAAAGTGGGTGCTGATTGACGACACACTGCTCATGCAGTCAATGCATGTTTATATTTTTTTTTCATAAATATAACAATTGTTATAAAAACACCAGCCAACAACAAAATCAATTAACATGGTTATTAAGAATAACAATAATGCACATTCATAACAATGTGTATAATGTGCTGTATTCATCTCAGTTCAATGTTCCAGCAATTTGCATGACAAGTCATATCTGGCTTTATTTCATAGCATCTTAACTTCATAGTTCATCCTGAAAAATAAAAATTGAGATCTGATCGAGATTTATTCACAAGGTGCAAAATAAAAATCAATTACGAGCCATAGTAATTGATAAATTGACTTTGGATTTGACAAGGCAAACAAGATAATATATTAACTAGCCTTTAATAGCCACTATCAGAGATTGAAATTTTACATTGTTTGCAGCAAAAATTACTTTTTTATCAGCACCCACTCGGCACCTTTCTCAGTCAGATTATGTTAATTGATGAAGAGATCTTGTAGTCAACTCACTGGGAGAAAGGTTTACCTATTAACATTGATATTTGCTATCATGAAAACAACATAGACCAAACTCAAAAGATTGACACTGCCAGAAATTTAATTCCTTCCCCAGACAACAAGTCAAGAAAAATGATAAAGTTTGGGTATATAACATTGCACTGTAATGTACCAAAGGTCTAAAATAGTATATTTGCTGTTTGTACCATAAGTTTTGATGGATTCATTGGCTCAGAACCTTTGGTAATCAGTTTATACTAAAGTCCAAAGGCAAAAAAACAAAATTGTTAGAAAAACCGGCTTACCTGGATGCTATAAAATAACTAATAACTAAAATTCACTGTCCCGATAAGTGAATTAAGACATTCACAACGTCAGACGTAGAGCACAAAGTTACGTCGCCTTTCCATTTGTTAAAGAGTGAACATTTTTATCTTTTTTATATGAAATACAAAAAATATATGCCGAAAATATTTCCATAAAAACCAGGAGGGAGATGGACACAGTTTTTCACCTTGTTTCACAATGAAGCGTAAGTACGCATAATAGCGTAAGTACGCACGGTCACATGCATTTGTTCGACAACAATTTCCTCAAATTACACAAATGCCGTTTTATTTATCACACAGTAAGAATTTGCGAAGAATGTATTTTCTTTTACCAGGGTTACACATTTGTATGTCGATATTTAGTACCATTAGACTAATGTTCATTCTAAAGATTCGTTTTCTGTGTATGCTTTCTTTTGTGATACAGTTCAGTTCATACGTTAACCTTGATTTTCGTCCTCATATCATATGTCAACATGTCATTGACACACGAATCATTTCCATACATCAATTTTCATATTATCGAGTTACTCAAAGACTGAAAAAGAGTCACAGTGTACTTGCGTTGAATATAAGGTGGAATATCGGTTACAAATTTTGTGCGATGAGCAGATGCTCATCTGCTCAATGAGATATTTCATACCCACTTGAAATTTTTGTTGATAAAATGAAAATGTAGCTATGAACTAGCCGCCGGAAAGAAGAACATTTCAGACATGGAATAACGTTTTTAACATTCATTTGTCTGCAATTAGTTATACAGCGATAAATAATAATTTCCCCTAAAACGTTTTATTATTTTTCTTTGCTCGTTTGCCATGGTTTCCTTAAGAAAGGTTCGGTAAACCTTTGCTATTGGGTTAAATTTAAAGTCGAATCATCACCATCGTCATATTCTTCACTGTCTTTATTTTCCTCGTCATCTTCAATCTCGTGGTCGCTTAAAAGCCTTTTAATAAGAAACTTTCTCTTATCAACTGCAGCTTCTATTGCTTCTTCTGGGTCAAAATCATCATTTGGAATAAACGCATCTTTTGTGTGCATTATTTTCCTATGTACTGAATCTTTCTTTAGTTGTCTTATCCACAAAAGGCGCTCTGAATAGATATTTTCTAATTCTTTCTGGAGTCTAGGCATAATATTCAAGTAAGCTTTTTCTTTAGCAGATTGCTCGTCGAAACCTCTGTTTATGAGGCGTTCTTTCATTTCCTCGAAAGCTGTGTTACTTCTTTGTTTTGCTTCTTCTATTAGTGGTATCCTGGGATCCATTTCTTCTCCAGATTCTGAGTCACTCGTCGTCGAACTTCGAGACTGCTGAGTAGAAGTTGTTGAGACATCGTCACGGAAATCTCTTTCTTGAGTGTCCGAGTCTGTTTGAGACATGTTTTTTTCTTGTTCTCGTAATGGACAGTATTCCCGTTCGTGTCTACGCTGATTGTAACCACGATTAAAGTGTCTTCCGCAAAATTGGCAGCTCATTCCCTTAGCACTGTGCACTGAGGCGTGAAAATGCCTTGTTATCGAGCAGTAATGTAGTCTTATGAGCAGATGAGCATGTGCTCATGAGCAATTATGAGCATGTGCTCATCTGCTCATCGCATAATATGGCACCCGGCTCATTGAAATTTTTCAGGCCCAATATAATATAATTTATATTGTTTAATTTAAAAAATAATGTCGGTTGAAATTTTTATCGCATAATATGGCACCCGGCTCATTGAAATTTTTCAGGCCCAATATTATAAATTTATATTGTTTAATTTAAAAATAATATCGGTTGAAATTTTTATGCGATGAGCAGATGAGCATGTGCTCATGAGCAGTTATGAGCATGTGCTCATCTGCTCATCGCATAAAATTTGTAACCGATATTCCACCTCTAATTTGAAAGCTCCAAGCTTAAGCTCCA